CGCATTTCCAGTGACCGTTTATTAAGAAATCTCGCATTCCGAGCGTGGTTTAAGGAAGGAAAGAATGTATGTAGATTGGTGATGGAAGGGCGCAGATTGTAGGTGAAGTTTCGAAGTGTCTCAGAAAAATTTTGGTAATTCTGTAGAAAAGTCAAGGAAACTCGTGGAAAATAGGGCAATAAACATCCGAGCATGATTGAAGAGAAAAAAGAATGTATGTAGATTGCCGATCGAAGGGTGCAGATTGCAGGTGAAGTTACGAAGCGTCTGAGAAAAATTTAGGTGATTCTGTAGGAAAGTCGTAGAAACTTATCAAAAATGGGGTAACAAACAATCTAAACAGCGGGCTGACCATTGAAATTGGTAGACATAGCTTTAGACAGAGAAGACAAATGGATAATGGAGTAATCCTATCAGTTGAAGCTTGTGGTTGTCCTAGGCTAAGGGGTAAATTATTATGAACTAACAAAAGGCCCTCTCGCGGATTGCCGTTCGTTAATATTGTAGGCTACTTGTTGAAACTGATTGACTCTCAGCGATAGACCAAGAGAATGAAGAAAAATTGGAGCGATTCTGTTGGTGGAAGCGGGTGATTGCAATGGACTCAGGAAGCAAATACAAATAATATTCTCACTTTTGAAGAAGATAGCTTTCGTTGTCACAACTGAAATTTTAGTCGGCGCGATTAGTTGCTCCTTTCACTCGATGAATATTTTGTTTACTATCTGTTAGAAATATTGGAGTGCAGTTGACTCCGGATTCTAAATTTTGCCTCCAAAAATCTGGAGTGATATGAATAAGGTTTGAAATCCGCTCCATAAGAGTTGAGTACTTACAAAGTAAAAAGGGTCAATTTGGCTCTGCAAGAGTAAAGCTCGCAGTTTATTCATATCTCTCGAGCTTTCAGGGAACAAAGTAAGCTCCGAATTCCAGATTTTACTCCGAAATTCTTACCAGTGCGTTCGAGTGCTTTCGCGATCCCCAGCGCAAAATATGAAATTTCGAATCGACAATGAGCTATGCAAATTTGCGAGATTTTATCACCGGTTTTTCGTTCGGGAACGATCAGGAAAAATGCCAGAGACATCAGGAAGACGCGGAACAATTTTTTTATTGTTTCTCCTAACGATGCACTCGTGTCATTAGCCCCCCCGGTTCGGGACCCGGGCCCGGGACGGGGGGCCATTACCCCCGGACGGATCGCTGATTGTGAGTTGTTTCGCTTGGATTTTCGCCCGCGACCCGTGCCGGGAAAATGTGTGGATTTTCCGCCGGGTGCGGCAACGGTGGGAGAGCGATGCGGTGCCAAAGCACCGGACTCCCACTGCGTCTCTAATTACGAAAAATACTTAAAAGCTCCTCGGCACGGCTAAACGGCGGCGGGCTACAGTGTAGCCGGGAGTCCGGTACCGGTGTCCGCGCGGATATTCGATGAGCATCGGACGTCGACGGCCCGGTTTAATGGTAGCCGCCCGGTCGCCCGCGTTACAAGTTATTCGCGGCGAGTGGCGAGTGTTGTCGGGTCGAGCTCCAGCGTCTGTTGGTGCCTGGTGGATGGTGGAGGAAAAGCTCGCAGGAGATACTGGTACTGGTATTCTGTCGTACTAAGGAAAAACGCCGTATGAACATTCGAGCATTGCCAAATTTTCTTCCATAAAATGTTTGTTTTTGAGGAAAGTTATGCATATTATCCCCAGAATTTTCTTTGTGTTTTACAAAATTCTGAACAAAATTTCCTGAAAAAGTGAAGGAACATTATTGAAAATGATCCCGTTCATTATTTTTCCATTGAAGACAATATGGCAACGCTTGAATGCTCATACGGCGTTCTTTCTTAGCACGGCAATATGGGACGACGAACGTAGACCCGAGACCCTCCGCTGACCTCTTGGCGCTAAGCTGACAGGTGACGACTGCCGTGGTAAAAGGAAGAACGCCGTAAAAGCCTGCAAACCTTGCCAAATTTCCTTTGACAAAATACAAATTTCAGGGAAAATTCCCGAGTATTTTTCCTTCAATTTTTCAGAAAATTTCGTTCGTACTTTGATGCAAGGTGTCAGAAAATTACTAGAAATAATTCTCATAATTTTATTAAAAAATAAGCATCTTTTTAGGGAAAATTTGGCAACATTTGTATGTTTATAGGCGTTTTTCCATAGCACAGCAGATGGCCTCTCCCGGTGACAAAGTGGACACGTCTGTGTGAAAGAAGTCCATCTGCATCTGAGACATTGTGCTTTATAGGCCTCGCATTGCTATTTTTCTCTGTAATTTAGAGTAGAAGTTATGTTAGTTAGTAAACGATTATATTTGCCCACTCGTTTCCCGAATGTAAGAACGTAACTCCACACCAAGATTGCAAAATTAGAACCTTGCAAGGGGCACCTAAACGAGTGCATTGATCTTTTCGTTAGACGTGGTGCGAATGAGCAACTAAACTAACTCGTAGGCAAAGCGGAGTGTATCACGGAAAATCGAAGGCGCACTGATTATGAGCCGAGATCGTGCTTTGATGCTCCCAGCCGTAAAATCCTCTTCGTTTTCGATGACAATTATCGCAATTTAACGAGTCAATACGAATTGCTTAATGCCTGCGACATTACATACATAATTTTGAACTTATTTTTTGTTGATCGTTTTCTGAAGTCAAAACATCGACTATGATTCTTTGAATTTCAGTAATCCGCGAAATCTGATGCAAAGCTTCCCGGTCGGGCAGATCCAAAGGGTCGATGTCGGTCGCTCCTCTGGCGCAAGGGCGCATCCCGATTTCCGTGTGAGCTCTAGGAAGCAGGGACTCATATGTAAAACAGGGCTCACGTGGGAATTGAGATACGCTCTTTTGTCCGAAAGGCGATGTATTATCCGGCGCAGGACGACCAATCAAAACGATCCGCGTGGCGCTTCCAACGCGGAAAATTTTCTTGTGCGTCGTCATGACTGCCGTGCTAAGTAAAAACGCCGTACAAGCATTCGAATGTTGCCAAATTTCTTCTGTAAAAGTATTTATTTTCGAAGGAAGTAAAGAATATTTCTCGTTGAAATTTTCAGGCTTTCCAGATCAAATTACGAACGAAATCCTCTGAAAAATCGGAGGAGAAATATTCCCAAATTTTCCTGAAAATTCGTGATTTGTCGAAGAAAATTTGGCAAATCCTGATGGCATGTACGACGTTTTTACTTAGCCTGGCAGATGAGCGTTCCAACGAGTAAACGGGCACCTCGTTTGTTTTCAGCTCCCAGTCCGGTCCATATTCCCTATCGGACGTATTTATGTTGAAAGGAACTATGTGCATAGGGTTTGCGTGTAACGTAGTCCCTTTCAGCATGAATGCGTCCTATTCTATATTCCTGTATCCCTGATTCTGTATTCTGGCGGCTTGCTGGATCGGGAGCTCTGGGAGAGCACCGCTTCCTGTCGGGCGCCTCGCGACCTCCGACTGATCTATGTACTGTCGGACAACTACAGTTGGACGTCGGACGGCATCGCGCACAAAGGGATTGGCTTATCACAGGAACTACTCGGTCTCTACGAGGATCTATCATTAAAGTGTCCACTAGTCCGGAATTTCCAGAAAGTCCAATCATAGTACTGATTTTTAAGGGAGGTTCGGAAGTAAACTGGAAAAAAAACACATTGGATCTAGAGTCCAGACTCTTAAAAACATCGACAAGAAAAAATACTCTCGATTCAATCAGATTTAAGCTTAAATCAAGAAGCAAGCCTCTTAATTTGAGCGGATTTCCTTTTGATTTAAGCTTAAATCTGATTGAATCGAGAGTATTTTTTCTTGTCGATGTTTTTAAGAGTCTGGACTCTAGATCCAATGTGTTTTTTTTCCAGTGCATAGCACTGATTTTTAAGGACGGTTCGGAAGTACGGAAAAAGTGCGAAAATTCTGCAAGAAAGTCCGGAGTTTTCCCTGGCTCTATCATTAGGGTGTCTACTAGTCCGCAAAGTCCGGAAACAGCACTGACTCTTTATGAACGGTCCGGAAGTACTGGTAAAGTGCAAGAAGGTCCGGAATGTTTTCCTTTATACCACGCGTGTTTTAATGACGCCTGGAAAGTATGCAATCCCCTTCAGCGTTGTCTTAGAGTAGTATTTGCCTACAAGATCGGAATTATACAGTCAGTCAAGCTTCAAGTCACCAATGAAATTTTGTGTCTACTTTTTTTGTCGTCATTCGAGCGAGAATGTCAAATTTCAACGAAGAATGAAACAAATGAAACTAATGTTATGATTAAAATCTGAGTTTTCAGTTAAACTTCGTAAGTTTATAATATCGAAATCGTGGTAAAGTTGCTCGAGTTCAGATATGAATAAAGCACACCCACAGATGGATATTATGTAAAATTTTATTCCGATTATTGTCACTTGTTTGTTGTTTTCATTACTGTTAGGTTCCTTCGTCTGGGAAATGACGAATAATTGTGTACACGCCCAGAAATTTCATTACTCAAGGCTCCATAAATTTAAATGGCACTAAGATGCTTTTAATGCACTATCAGATACATCCCGTAGTCTTAGTTTCATCCATTTTGTACTTCTGTTGCTGCCTCCTTTGGCAACATCACGAATATCTCGTTAATGCACTTACCGATATTGACATCCGGTCAAAATCGCGCGCTGTTCCCCACGAGAGATGCATGCACCTCTCAGGCGACCCTGGTAGCGCACCGGTCCGATTATCGACGGAGAGATCTCTCCGGTCCATTTGAAAACCCCCCTCAATTACAATACGGACGTTTTCCACCGGGTAATCGTATCAGCGGTGGCTCAAAAATCGGGGGACATTCCACAGACGGCGGCGCCCGTTAAAATATGAAAAGGAATATTCTCGTGACCTCTGGGAGATGTTCGGGAGCAGCCCCCGATGGGGGGGGGGGGGGCTCCGAGACCAGAATCAGGAATCAGAAATCAGGACGCCGCCGCTCGGAGTCGGGTCGGGTCCGATCGGAGCGAGTATACTAATATTTATTTCGACTTGTTGTTTCAGATTCCGGTTAGAGAATACAGACCACGTCATCGACGTCAATAAAGGGAATGGTTTGTTCGAGTACGATCAGGTGAATATCATTTGTCCCGTGTATAACCCCGGAACGCACGAGGAGGACGCCGAGAAATACATTATTTATAACGTAAGTACCAACTTTGTATACTACTCGCAGCGTGTCCTAACCTCAAACATCAGCCTCGCTCTTGTCCCAGCCCCCTGTTGTCGGCGCTTCCACAGGGCAGTATTCAGCGAGTGGAAAAATCATTGAAAATGGTTTGTGCACACTGAAAAAACAATCTCGGTGTATTTACTAAGAAAAGGGTAAAATTACCAAGAATTCAGGGTTCTATTTGATCACAGTTTTTTCTTGGTAAAATTACCATTTACGGAATTGGTAATTTTACCGAGAAATCTCGGTAAAATTATTGAACTTCCTCGGTAATTTTACTGGACCTTAGCAAAAACGGCAATATTTTTTATCGACTGTGGTAGAATTACTGAGATAAAATGGAAAAGTTACCGGGGATTGATTACCAGTAAAAGTGGTATTCTTACCCTTAAAAAAACAGTAAAAATACCGGTTTTTAGATAAGCTTACCAGTCTCGGTAAAATTACCAATAAATGGTAAAAAAAGTGAGATGGTAAAGGTACCAACGGACCGTGGTAAAAACGCCGAGAATTTTTTTTCAGTGCAGGGTTGTCGGCGCACAGTGAATCCAGTCGATCAGAGAGATCGGACTTGCAATTTGGGACTAAAACTGAAAATTATGATGTTTATTTCGTCACATTTTAAATTTTAAGGAGTGCTTGTAAAAGAAAATTCCGCGGAGAAACCAATGGAACATCTTTTACAACCTCAAAGCTTTGTATAATCGGAGTTATAAGCTTTCAAAGTTTCCAAATTTTGTCCGACCTCTTCGATTGAATCGATCCACTGTACGGCGGTCTGAGAAACCAGGATAATCAGGAAGGGTCAAAGAATTTGCGACGACCAAGAAAAGTCAGAGAGTCTCTAATACATCTATTAATCACTAAAACACATCTCTGATCCTCCAACTATTTACCTTCTCCGGTCATTTTTAAGGCTAGTCATCTTTTGACCAGCTACTGAACGCCTTTATCCACAATTTTATCTCTAAACAGGAAAATGCGTCCAAAGTTGAGCGAAAGTTAGCGTATTTAAACAAAAAAAGCGGAAATTTTGTTCGAAGGTCAGGGAAAGTCAGGAAACTAGACAATTTTAGAGGCAGGAAAAATCAGGGAAAGCCACGGAATCTAAAAATAAAGAAATTATGGCAACCCTGTTTATAAAATTGCACGTTCATATTCATGAAACGGAATCTTGAGTGCCGATATTTCAATTTGAATGATTTATGGTAGTTTTGTTTTGTGTTGGGTAGCAAAGAAATTAAATTTAATAGAAATGTAATAATTCATTTTAAACGTTTTTTTTAGTCGGCTCCTTTTAGTTTGCTGGTGGGTGTCTAAAATTGCATTTGTAAGTAGACACTCCTGAATGACTTGAGCATGAAAATATCGTCGGTTTCTATATTTAAAAAATCACTGGAGGGATTATCATCGCATTATGATTTAGTCTGCTAAAATAAATTTTTTCAATGGGAAATGCAGCCGTCATACGCCAGCGTTGTAAAACACTAAATGAAGTCTAGTTGATCAGTTTAATTTCTTTGTAATCGTTTAAGAGCGAACCAAAGTTCACCCATGAAAATGCCTTAGCTGCAGCTTCACTCACATAGTCCGTGACGTATAGTTCTGTCAACCATCTAGTGAGTAAATCCCGTATTTTCCGACCGTTTGGTCTCCTTTCGCTGAATACTGCCCGGTCAATACGGTGCGGCGGAGGTTTTACTGGTGGAGGGATTGTTGTTTTTTCAATATTATTGTCAAATCTTTTAGGGGTCGATAACATGCTTTGCCAGAAAGGAATGAGGTCAGCAGGACTTCAAAATCGAAGCTTTAGTACAGTTTTTCTTCTGTCTGAGAATGTCGGTCAAATTGAGTTCGAATGAGCTTTATCCCTCTGTCATGGAGGAATGTTCGGTTTAATACCGGATTCGGCGTATGATGACTATCTCTCTTTCATTGCTATTTCCACCCCTGCTGGAGAAATTTTATGACTGCCGATTTTATGAGATCCGAAAGATCCTGAGATTTGGCATTTTATCGACCCCTTAAAGTTTTATTTGTGTTTGAAAAATTCATGAAATTTTGTACTTATTACCATTTTCCGCTTTTTCAAAATGACCGTCATCGTCTGTTCGTGGTCTCACCTTCATCTCTGTTTCATTAGATACATTTCATTAAAGACCTCACAAGTGTAACTTTGTAGTAATAAAAATCCAATTAAGAAATGATTAAGGGGGTTTCAAGACGATCCCTAATATTGCATCTAAATTGGGCAATTTTCGCGGACCTCGGGTTAAATTCAGCAGTATAATTTTTAAAATGAGTCCTTGCAAGGGATTATAATGATTTACTCCTGCAAAAAATGCAAAATACAAAGAAAAACTTCTGTGAGTTAGAGAAACTTTGAGATAGATGCGAACCTACCTACCTTAAAATTGATTAAACTCGCAGTATATATTTTCTTCCGTATTTTGTATTTTTTGCAGTGGAAAATCATCTTAATCCCATGCAAGGATCCGTCTTTAAAGTTATATACTGCCGAATTCCACTTGAGGTTCACGAAATTTGCCCATTATGGGATGTCATGTTAAGGATCTTCTTGAACCTCCCTTAATCAGGTTGTCTACAAGTCCGGAAATAGTACACTGATTTTTTTAAGGGCGGTCCGGAAATACTGAAAAAGTGCGGAAATTCCGCATAAAGGTCCGGAATTTGTTTGAATTTGTTGTAATTTTTGTCGCGATCTCAAATTTTTGAAATTTGTCTCATTTCATTAAATGGAGGTACTGAAAAGTACGACATTTTTCTGTTGGAGGAGGTACTGAATTTCTTGAGAATGTACTGAAAAAGTACTCTATAAGTACTTATTATTGACCAGCCTGTTTTAGTAGACACTCTGAAAGTTAGACTGCCGAATTTTACTCAAAGGTTCACAAAAATTGCCCATTTTGGGATGCCATGTTAAGGATCTTCTTGAACCTCCGTTAACATACCTCCTCTTTTCCTCGTAATGAGGTAAGGAGATCGAGAGATCGGGGGTGGAACTTGGTACGGGGGGCAACGAGGCAACCTT